GGGGGTTCAGCTTATCCCCTCTGGCCCAGGACATCCCATGTAGACCCCTCCTGCCTCTTCGGCCCAACTCCATCCCAGTCTATCCCATCTGCCACCTCAGCCCTAAATACTCCTCTCCTTTTTTTATTTTATTTTACCTCACCTAACTGCTGTCTCAGCCCATCCTTAGCTGCCCTTGGATGAAGTTTCCAATCGGCTGTTTCTGTTTTTATTTATGTTTCCTACAGGCACTCCTGCAACTAGCATTCTTAGTTGCTTTTTCTGCCCACCCCAACTGGCTCTCGGGTTTTATTTGGCTTCCCCTAATTCTGGCTCTGTGCAACTGACCTTTGCTCACCTTCTTTACCTATAGACATTCCCAACTGTCCCCTCCTTCCCTGTCCCAATTGACCCCCTGTCCACACTGAACTTTCATTAACCCCTATACCTCATTTTTTTAACCACCCCTCAATTCCCTAACTGCCCCCAAGCCATTCAACAGTTCTGTACCACAACCCGCACATACCTCTGTCCCTGCCTAGTTTCCAGCGGTCACCCTTTTTCATTTCATCATCTCAGATTGCCAATTAAGTCGCTTAACAGTCACCTGTAAATTTCACTTACTCTTATACATTTGGCTTTGGAAAATTTGCTTTCTCCTTTATCTTTTACCACATCCACATTTCCTGGGCTCTCCATCTCCAACCTGTATATTCAGCCAATAGAAACGTCCAGCACTAGAAATACCTTTGAAGCTCTCTTTCCTTTTTCGGGACCCATACACCCTCTTTCCAATCTCTAGATCTGCTACTGGTCTCATCCCTACAGCCATTTACACGAGTAAGTGATTCATTTTTCATTATCCTCCCAGCAGCAATGAGGAGACTCAGTCCAGCCACCCAGCCCAGTCCAGTCAGGCAGGTCCACGAAGACGGAGACAACCTCATCCCCTTTGCCAAGTGAGTCGTCCCCACCCAGCAGGGAGAACGGGGACAGGATGGAGGGAAGATTGCATGCCGGGGTTCTCTCCTAAGAAGAGTCGGAAATAAGGAACAAGAAAGCTCAGTGCCTGGGCTCAGGATTGATGACTCACTAATTTATTCAACAAATTGTGTTTTGAACGCTGCATTGTTCCAGGCACTGTATTAGGCACCAGGGATTCAGCAATTAGAGAGACAGGCGTCCTGCTCAAACTGCTTACATTCTAGGAGGAGGAGACAGAATATGCAAATAAATATAATTTCAACTAGTGATAAGTATCATAAAAAAATAAAACAGGAGTGTAATATAATGGAAAAATAGAATGTCGAGGAGACATAAGTTTAGATAGGGTGATTGTGGAAGACTGTTCTACGGTGGTGAATTTAAATTGAGATCTGAAAAATGAGAAGGGGCCAGTCTGATAAGAGCCATGGGGGAGAAGAAGGAATAGTAGGTTTTAAAAAGCCCCAAGAAACAGGCTTGGTATGTTGTAGGGCCAGGAATCAGGCCAACTGAAACTTAGGGATCAGGGAAATATAGAAAGTAAAGTCAGACAGGCAGAGGACCTAATTGGCCATTGAAAAGAGTTTGGATTTTATTCTAAGTGCAGTAGAAATCAGTGGAACTTTTTAAGCAAGGGAATGATATGAGTAGACTTTTTTTTTTCTTTCAACTTTTTTATCACGGAAAATTTCCAATAATTACAGAAGTAGAGAAAGTAGCTCCATCATGAACCTGGTGTGCCCTTTTCAGTCAGCTTCAATAACTGTCATTATATGGATAATCTTTTCATCTGTATACCCATCCAGCCTCCTGCTACTCAGATTATTTTAAAGTAAATCTCAAACTGTGCATTTCACATGATCATTTTTAAAAGATCATTCACACTGTTCTGTGAAGAATAGTTTGTAGGGGATTAGATGGAAGCAGGGAGAGGAAGAGGAGGAGGCCACTGCAGGAGTCCAGGCAGCAGAAGATGAGCTGGAATACAGTGGTGAGAGTGCAGATGATGAAGAGTGGTAAAACTTGGGCATATTTTAGATGTAGAACTGACAGGACTTGCTGATAGATTGGATATGGGAGGTGAGGGAAAACTAAGCATAACAGGTTTCTGGCTCTAACAACTGGGCATTTGAGGTGCCTTTCAATGAGATGGGGAAGGCTAGGGAGATGTTGAGTGGGCACTTAACCTGCAAGTCTGGAGTTCAGGAAAGGAGCCAGGGCTAGGAATATAGATTTGGGAGTCATCAGCACATTGGTGGTATTTAAAGTCATGGGGGGGAGGGGGAATAAAATCATGGGCCTGAGTGAGATCACCTAAGGACAGATGGAGATGGAGAAGATAGAGGGCTCAGGCCTAAGCCCTCGGACACTCTCCTTCTAGAGAGCAGGAGAGCAATCATCATTCAATCTGCTGGCTTTGGAAGTGATGAGCACTGTTCTCAAACAGCTCAGTACATCCCTCACTGCCTACAAAGATATTAGTCTTTCTGAGATAGGGGAGACAAAGCAGTAGTAAATAGAGGTTCTGCTCTCCTGCATTCTTGCATTAACCTGTTTATCATCACCTGAGTAGCTGGGGCTGTCCTCTTTAACAGCCCTGCTTGCTAAATATGATGTTGTTTGTGGGGTGTAGAAGCTCAAGATTCGGTGAGATCTGACACTCAACAATTGCCAATCTCCACCCTCGTCCCAGCTCCAATCTCCTTTCAAATCAGAGGCTTTACCATCTTCCTCAGCTAAAATGGATTGTGAGGACATGGCCTGAGGGAGCGTGGCCAGCTGTGTGGTCTCACGGAAAGACAGGGCCTCTGAATCCCGGGGTGAGCAGATGCTGTAAGGGAAGAGCCAGATCCGAGCCTACCTTGTCCTCATTTCAGGTGTTCCAAGGTGGTTAGCCGATCTCCAACCCCCAGCTTGCCTTCCCAGAGCTTCAGACTGACACCCCAGCATTATGGAGACATCTTCTGGGAGAACCTTAGTCAAAGGCCCAGGTGGGTAGAAATGGAGAAAATGGGGACTAACTAGAGGTAGGAAGGTGAGGCTGTACAATTTTAAACAACCATAAGGCTTTATAGGCCTGGCTGGTGTGGCTCAGTTGGTTGGAGCATCATGGCGGGTTCAGTTCCCAGTCAGGGCACATACCCAGGTTGCGGGTTCGATCCCTAGTTGGGATGTATGAGGAGGCAAACAATCAGTTTCTTTCTTTCTCATCAATGTTTCTCTCTCTCTCTCCCTTCCTCTCTCTCTAATATCAATAAAAGCATGTCATCTGGTGAGAGTTAAGGTGAAAAAAAGCTTTATAGCAATATGCACTAGTCTTGGGATAACTGCCCCACTGGCTGATGGACATTGTAGCTCCTAATGCCAGAGAGATAGGTGGTTGGGAGAGGTCGTTAGAGAAACAACAAGGATGAGGGTGTCTTTTCTGCACTTAGCCCCCTTTCTGTGCTTCACAGCCCCACTTGGATGGAAGAACCGTGCATCCCATCCCTGCTGGTATGACAAACTTTTTACCCTTCAATAGTTCTCAGTTAAAATTGCACCCCAGCTCTCCTTATTATGCCTTACCTCTAGTGTTCCCCAACCAAAGCACTGAACAGGCCCTCCTTTCTATGAATCAGTCATGTTTTCCAGATCACACCTGTATTCGTGATCTGGGCTTCCCAAGACCCCTGACTCCCTATTTCAGACCAAGCTCACCTGAGAGCCCCAGTTCTGCCATCTATCTCCTCTTCCCCATTCTTTGGCACAGAGAGCCACTGGTTGTTCCAAGCCTGGCATGTGCCCCCCTGAGGAGCTCCCACCCCCTGAGATGCTTTTCCGAAGAAAGAGAAGGAGGCAATATTTGGCAGGAATGCAGCAGGGACCTGGGGGCATCCCAGCCCGAGTAAGGGCTGTCACTTACCACCTGGAGGATCTAAGGAGGCGTCAGAGAATCATCAATGAGTAAGGAGAGACATCTGGGCTCTGGGAGCCAAGCAGGGTTTGGAGGCAGAATGGTTTGAACTAAGGAAGGGGTGGAGGATTTTGAAGGAATCGAAGGTTGTTTAGAAATGAATCGTGAACTTGGTGGGATTGCAGCAGAATTTCCGTAATGTGGAAGGGAGGGAACTAAAGGATTGAGGATGAGCGACATGAGCTGGAAGAAGTGGAAGCTGGATCACTGAAGACAGGAAAACTCTCCATAAAACTAGAGGATAGTGGGGAGCTAGAGATCACCTCTGAGTCCTTGAACTGAAGTAAAAGTACTTCAGTCTGAGGGAAGCAGAAAGTTGGGAATGGAGAGTTGGAAGTCAAATGACAATGCCCCTGGGTCCCAGCAGGAAGTGTTTTAGGACAGAAAGGTGAAGAATGGAGAGACAGGAAGCCTGGCCTCCAGGCACCTCTTTCCTAAGCCTAGAGTCTCCACAGACTAAAGAAGGCCCAGTGGGGCAGCTCTGGGACTGCGTCTGAACCCCTGGTGCATGGCAAAGCAGGCTGTAGATTCCCCAGCACCACTGGACACCCTGATCTGGAAGAGGAGAGGGCAGCCTATCCACAGGAAGAGGACCACTTTCTCACACCTGACAGGGCCCAGGTATGGTTGGAGAGGAACTTGGTGGGGTGATGGAGGGTGATGTGGATGCCTGGTCTTGCATGGAGAGACAGCGGAAGCCAAGAGCCAAGTTGGATTGCTGGATTTGAGGGAAACAAGTCAGAGATTTGGGCGTATTTGGGTATGGGCACTAGAAAATCTGGAGAGAGACACACTTTTCCATTCTTTCAACTCTTTTTTTCACTCTCATCCTTACAGCTCTTTGGTCTCCCTGGAGTCCCCTGGTCCTGGAAGGATCTTGTCTCTCCAGGCAGCTGAGCTCTCTACCTCCCTATAGCACTGTCACAGCCAGTAGGAACCCCCTTAACAGTACCTGGGGGATGGAGTTGACTGAGGAGTAAGGAGAAACCATCCATGCCCATCCAACATGCTAGCACTGCCTCAAGGACCCAAGCCGCCTTCTCATCGCTGGAATCACCCCCATTTCTGGCATCAAGGCATTCCTGTCCCTAGCCTCTCCCAGTTTCCTCTCCCATCTTCTGCACTAGGCACTAACAGCCATCTGGGCCTCCCATCGCAACCCACCCCCCTCACAGGAACTCCCCAATGCCGGTTGCCGCCCAGGCCTCGCTCCCTGGCAGTGTTCTTTTCCCTGTTCTATCATTAAAAAGCAAACAAGTTGAGCCAGAGTTGTCTTTCTCTCTGGGAAGCGGTGATGGAGAGGCTCATGAGCAAGACCCAGTAACAATGAAGTCAGGCTGGGTCCCCAAAGTTCAATGAGTCATGCCCTGGGCGAGAAAAAGTCCTGCCCCCAGTCCCGCGTTCCTCCCCTGGCACTGGACAGCCACCCGCGCCCCACTCTCCCGGCTCGAGGGTCACCCCAGTCGGCCGAGCTTCCGCCTCCAGGACCCCGGAACCCTGCCCCTCCATACTGCTGCCTCCTCAGGGACTTCCTGGGAGTGAGTCCCTCCACCAGCGCCCCGCCCGGAGTCCCCCAAGTGCAGCACCCGGGTTCCCTTCCCGACCCCCTTCCCCTTAATTGGGAGGCCCCGCCCCGTGCGCAGTGACGTCGGACGCCGCTGTCAGCCGGCGCTGGGGGGGGTCGGTGTGGGGTAGAATGGCCGCTGCCGCCGTCACCTGCGGGACCCCGGGAGGTAAGAGCCAGGGCCTCCTGCCCGCCTCTCCGCCTCCGCGCCAGGGGGCGCAACTCCACCGGTCGGGACTTGGCGCGCCGCGCGGGAGACCACCGCCCCTTCTCCGGGTTCGCTCCCACTGCCCGCTTCCGTCCTCCTCCCTCGCGCCAGGGGGCGCCGCTCCGCGTAGGGCCCCACCGCGGACCTGCCGCGCGGGGACTGCCTTGGGGACCCCTGTACCCCCACTGTCCCTCGCCCGCCGCGCGCCCGCGGACTCTGCTCCTCAGTTTCTACAGAACATCCCTCCCTGCGGGCGGGAGGCAGGACCCGCTCAGCTCAGAGCTTCCCCGGGGACCACCGCCCCACCGCCCCACCGCGGGGGGCCGCCCCTGGGCCGGCTCCGCAGCCTCGTAGGCGGCCTAGCCGGGACTGCGCACCTGCGCCCTGGGGCGGAGTCCTTACCCCAGCCCACGCAGCCGAGCTCCGAGGGGCCTCCTCCCCCTCGTCATCCTCGAACACCTGGCGGAGCCCGAGCTGAGAGCCTCCTCCAGCTTCCATCTGTTCCCCGGGAGGGTGGGGGCTCAGGCTGGAGCCGGAGTGGTAGATGGTGTAGGGTACGCCTGGAGGCCGGGGGAGGCAGAGGCGTTTGGGAAGGGTGGGGAGAGAGGTGGGTAAGGGGTGGAGAGGGCTGTCAGCCTCCGGGTCGTCCTGAGGGTGGGAAGCTGGGTCCTGGGTGTCTAACCCAGATTGTCCTAGGCCTTGACCATCCTAGCGCAGAGAGGGAGGTTAGGATCGGTTATCAGATCTGTCTTTACTCCTGGAAAAATAAATAGAGAAGGGACTCAGGGTGTGTCTTCTAAGGCCTAGCTCTCCACTTGGACTTAGATCTCCTGCCCAACCCCCAGCCACCAGCATCCAGGCTCTCATTTGCCAAACCATTCTCCAAGGACCGGATGCCCTGAGTCCCAGTCCCCAGATCCTGACCCCACGGAAGCCCCAGCCCCTTCAAGAGCCCACGCTGTAGGACGCCAGCCTTGCCAGTTCCTCCCCTCCCCCACCCCACCCGACTCTTCCTGATTACTCTGTTCTGTCGCGTCTCCCCACTCGCGTTGGTTCCTGGCACCATGTCTGGGTTCTCCCCCTCCCCCATTCCCTGGCCCTACTCTCACATCAGAGCCTATCCCCTTCCTTCCTCTAGCTTCCTCATCTTTCCCAGATACCATGACCCAGTTCTGTACTGCCTCTCCCTCCTCATCCTCAACCTGGATAAGTGTGAGGGCTTCTGCCATGACCTGCTCTCTCTTTTCTCAGCACAGACTCCCCCTCCCCCCGGCCCCTCAGGCCAGGGGTGACCTTGCCCCTGGAACCCTCGCCATGAGTACTAAGGACACCACTGAGGTTGCTGGTGAGTCCACAATCTAGGTTCCCACTTTGGGCACAACCTTTCTCTCTCCCTGCCCTGCGGCGACTGTAATTCTTGGATTCCCTGCTCTCCTGCTCATTTCAGCTTCCCCTGGTGCTCTGGATTCAGCCCTTTGCCTCTGGGCTAGCACACTAAACCCTTCTTTCTAATTTTTCTCTAGAGAACAGCCACCACCTGAAGATCTTTCTCCCGAAGAAGCTATTGGAGTGTCTTCCTCGATGTCCGCTGCTGCCTCCAGAGCGGCTACGGTGGAATACAAATGAGGTTTTCTAGGGAGCTTGGGGGATTAGGGCCTAGCAAGGTCTGGCAAGCTACAGGAAGGTGAATGGGAGTCCCTGTGTCTGTCCACACTCTCAAGTGCAGAATACTATATTCAGGGCTCTTCGGAGATCCTAGGAGAGGTATAAAGACCGGCATCTTGTAGGAGCTCATTTCTTAGCATATCCACCTGAGTGAAAATAATAGACACCACCATTAAAGTATTTCTTACAAACCAGGCATTATGCTAAGTACTCAATCTGCACGATCTCATTCCGTAGCTCTAAGGATGCTATCTATAGAGCAAGCACTGTTATCCCTGTGGTATAGATGAGGAAACCGACTTAGTTCATGTAGTTTAACTCACTCTAGAGCTCCTGCTTTTAACCACCACGGATGCTGCTTCCTTCTGTACTCCCTACCTGCACCCAGTGCTTTGTATGCGCTTGGCGGGTGATCATTATTGATCTGATTATTTCATTAGAAGAGAACTTTTAGTAAAAAGGTATGTGTGTATGTTATTCTTAGTGCCAGATGGCTGCGTGGAGATCTGGGGAGGGATTTGGTCTATAGGACGGCTAGGATTTCCAGACTCGAAGAGATGTGTACATGGCACTTCAGGCTTGTAGGGCACTAACATTAAGGGTGTTACTGCTCAGGACAAGTTCAGGGAAGAATCAATGGACCAGTCTGGCTGGAATGGTAGGTGCACTATGAGTAAATAGTGTGAACGTAGGAGTGATGGTTTGATCCCTGGTCAGGGAGAACCTTGGAATCAGGCTGAGGAATCTGGGATTCCTGGCAGTGTCAAACTATTGAAGTTTTCTGAGTCAGGAAGTGGCACAAAAATGGTATTTGGAGAAAATAAAATAATATGCAGTATGAACAAAGAAGGATGAAAGCTTGGACCTGGCCCCAAGATAAAAGCCCCAGTTGGAAGGGAGGGAAGGAGAGGTTAGACTTTTGTCTGCAATGGAACCTGGGATTCTTAGGAGGGCAGTGGGCCTTGCTGGGTCCTGATACCTGGCAGCATCCTCCACTAGCTGCCAGAACTCAGCAGAGAGTGAGACTGAGGGGATGACCAAGAGGCCAGGCTGAGACTCTATGAAGGTGACACCCCCCTGAGTACCTCCTCTCCTACAGGAGATTGCATCCTACTTGATCACCTTTGAGAAGCATGATGAGTGGCTATCCTGTGCCCCAAAGACAAGGTGAGAAAGTTTGTGAAGGTGGGGACTGGCAGGAGTCCTGGGTTCTGTTCACAGAACTCAAGGCCAACTTTTCCCTCTTCAGGCCTCAGAATGGCTCCATTATCCTCTACAACCGTAAGAAGGTGAAATACCGGAAGGATGGTTACCTCTGGAAGAAGCGGAAGGATGGGAAGACCACCCGAGAGGACCACATGAAGCTAAAGGTCCAGGGCATGGAGGTAAGCAAGGCATCCAACTCACCTTTCTCAACTCTTAGCTGGGTTCCAGCCCTGCCAGGAGTTGGTGCCATGGTCTGCCTCACCACCCTCTCTTCTCACTCACTTTGCATCAGCTGACTGATAGCTTAGCCCACCCTCCACATCCCATTTCCATCCATGTCCCAGCTGTCCAGGCCTTAGGTCATGCCTCCCCTGGAGGACATCAATGCTCAGTTCCCTCACCTCTCTTGCATTTCCCTCAGGAGTCCAAGTACTGAACCTCTAAGCACAGGGTTATCTTCCCCAAATCATTGCTCCTCATTTTAGGTGTGTTCTTGCCCTGCCCTCTGATTTCTAGATAGTCCTATATCTCAAATGTGGTCCTCATTGTAAGGCCCTGGTCCCACTGTTCCCTTCTACCTCTCTATGATTTGGGGTGCTGGAATTTTAAAGGTGTGGGGAATAGGTGGGGGTCGGTAAGGGTTGAAGAGGAACTGGTGGAAAGATTGGGATTCCTGCAAAGGAACTGAACAGAGGAAGAGTTGGGGAGCAGACTAGCCCTCCCCCCACCCCAGCCTGTCTCCTGGCAGTGTCTCTATGGCTGCTACGTTCACTCTTCCATCGTCCCCACATTCCATCGGCGCTGCTACTGGCTGCTCCAGGTAAGGATGGAAGGGCTCTGGGAGCCACACTCTTCTTGGCTCTTTGAGGGAGATGGGGTCTGAAAGGATGCAGTGGAAGGATGACTAGGTTCTGAGTGGGAAAAGGAGCCTGGGAAGATAGGGAGTTGGGGATAGCCAGAATTTGGGGATGAGGTTGGGGGTTGCCTGGGAAGAAAGTGAGGACTAGGAAGCTGAGCCCCTGGATCTCAGGACCCCATGGTGGTCTGTGTGTGTACTCTTATGCCCTCAGAACCCTGACATCGTCCTTGTGCACTACCTGAATGTCCCAGCCCTGGAGGATTGTGGAAAGGGCTGCAGCCCCATCTTTTGTTCCATCAGCAGTGACCGTCGAGAGTGGCTGAAGTGGTCCCGGGAGGAGCTGTTGGGACAGCTGAAGCCCATGTGTAAGGCAGCAGGGCTAGGACAGTGCTCCAAGGGGAGAGTGGAAACAAGGGCCTCCCAAAGGTACCAGGAGCCTGTAGGGTGACCATTTCCCTCTAAGCCAGAGGGTGCTTTCCTATGGGGGTGCTAGGCTTCCCGGTGAGTTCTAAGGTGTTGGAATATGGAGAAGGGACAGCTGTGAACTACAAATTCAAGCAGTCTTGAGGCTGCTGGCCTCTTTGCACCTGGCCAGAAGTCTTGGAGCATCTCAGGTGCTTGAAGGAGCCATCAAGATGCTCTGGGGACTTCTGTGGGGGTCCCATAGCACTTCCCCCCAACTCTCCTCTAGT